TTTTTTTTTTTATCTTGACACATCAACTGATATGCCATACCATGTTTCTCCTCTGTCCCTATTTACTGCATACTATGTAATAATATTCTAAATTGTCTTGCTCTTACAGAAGCATGTTTCTATTTACTTGTTCATGTCGTTCAAACAAGTTCAGCTTAGGTGGCATTATTTCGCGGGCTCCACCTTTGAAAGGATCATAAAGTTATTATGAAGTAAATTTCGTCAAAATCAAATAAATGTTAATTTAATTCAATTCTAAAATTGATATAGATTCAATTTCTAAACTGAGCAACGAATTGCTAACAAACAAAGAAGGGAATGCGAGACTTAGAATTTGCCTTTTCCGACAAAGGTAGGAAATGATCATCAGACTTTTTAGTTTAATTAGAAAGTCATTTATATTCGTCAGTATGACGTCAATTACAAATTTATCGGCAGCTGTTTTAATAGGGGCATCCCCTGCTGCTTGAGATTGATCAAGAGACATAGGACAGTGGAAAGTTCTCAGAAGTAGCTCAATCATTCTCGGTAGACCGCAGAATAATATTGGCAGCAATTATCAACTCGTTAATTAAGGAGAAAGAAAAACAAAGTAATGAGCTCGCTTGAACGTCATGGTTTGACAGAGACGCAACAGGTTTGATGTCTGCTGGCACTCTTACGCAATGATGATTTGTATTGGTATCTGATATCACGATTGAGAGCTAGGATGTACTAATAATGTCCAGCTTCCTAAAATAAAATACTCTAACTAGAGAGAGGAAGTTAACCTAACATAAGGGACTTTAAGATTTGCACGTCGACATAGAGGACTGCTACGTGTGACGTCCTTGAATTGGCAGTGACAGTGACGTGTACATCTAAAAGTCCCTATTATTGAGCATGGGAGTGGTATGAAATGGACGGCCCGGGGAAGAACACACATTTTATGGATCATCTTTTTCGTACACTATAAGAATGGTGAACATGAGCAAAATGTGACAACAAATATTCCGCCTGGTTCACAAACATGCGATCCATCAACATACTCGTCTGTCATCACTCATTTAAAGAGCCTGATCACCTAATAAAATATGATACGAACAAAAAATAATGCGATTTGTGACTACCAACCGGGCTTAAGTTAACCAAGGTCATAGAGTTATGTCACTAATCGAATTTCCTATCTTTACAGTTGGTGGAGTGTTGTGGGGCAGAGGGGGCGAGCGAGAAGGGGGCGGCCTGAATGCACTTCTTAGGGCAAGTCAGGTAATTAACAAGTTCTTCACACGTCATTCTCAAAACACGTTTGAATTTAACAAAGAAAATTGGACATGACAGGGCGTTATGAAAGAAATGCAAGGAAGGCAGTAGAGATTCTGCTTGACCGGAATACTCTACAGTTTTTTTTTTTTTTTTTTTTTTTTTTGGGGGGGGGGGGGGGGGGGGCTCGGAGGGGCTCAACCCCCTAACAAAATAAATAATCGAGAGGCACATGGAGGAAATGAATGCAAAAAACCCCAACTCCCCCCCCCCCCCCCAAAAAAAAAAGACATTCCTCTAGAGTCGCTCCTGACCCTCTCTATGTTGCCGGAGTCAGGATTCGGGACGGGGGAGGGGCGCAAATCCATAAAGTCATTGGCAAGACACAGCCACTCGTTTGAAATTGCTGGGGACTCAAAATTGATTAGGGGCACATGTTTTAGATGTAAGGTTTACTTAAATAATGCAACAATTTCAAAGATTTGGGAAGGTGTTTTCCAAAACTTCCGTATGTTCTAGCGACGCCCCAACATGAAACCAATCTTTACTTTGTAACGTACGTCGACAAGGAAATGTCGATGAATTGGAGATGAAAACCTCCACGGGAATGAGTGGAGCTCCGTTTCTTCGCTTGACTTGTAAAATTAAAGTGCAGTTGTTCAGTCTACATTATCCTTCCATGAAGTCTGCGTCATCTAAACATTATGGTTTCTTTGTCTCTTTTACTTCTTGTTGCCAAGGGAAGGGCAGAAGTAGACAGACAGACATAGTGAGAGAAGGGTGGGGTCAAGAGGAAAGAGGAGGGAAAGAATTACAGGTCGTCACATCAGATGTGTTGGGATAGGGGTGCAGAGTGCATGGAGGGGGGGGGGGGGGTTGGAGATTGACTGAACAATAGAGTGAGAAAGAGGCAGGGCGTGAATTGTAAAGGAAGCGAAAATTCACAGAAAGGTAGAATTGAATTGCACATAATTTATGGAATGATCAACCTACTGTCGATAAATAATATATGGTTTCGAAAGCAGGGGCGGAAATCAGGATTCTATAAAAAGATGGTCAGAGACGCAATCTATTTTAATAAACCAAATTAATGAGAAAAGTACGAGATACAGAGCAACAATAATTACACTATTTTGTAGGTGGATAATAACAAAGTTTACTAGAAAAGCAATAAAAAGGGTTATTACGAATAACAGGTGCGTTTTGTGGTATAAAATATAAAAAGGCGAGACAAAAGTGGGAGGGTGGAAAGGAGGGTGGATGGGCACCATGCCTTACCACCCTGGATACACCATTCATTGGCAGTATACCTATGGCTAACCATGTACAGGTAACAACTGATTTACTCATACATACCCCTTGTAAATTTGACGTTTTGTGTTTTTCGTAACTCATGAATGAAAGGTGGAGTGGTTAAATTAGGGCCTTTGTTGAATGCTTTTAGATGTAAGCTTTAATGTCACATTCGCAAGAAAAATAAATTGGGAGAAATCCATTTTTCATATATTTAAAAAATAACAAAAAAGTTCTAAGGGTTTGAATAATTTAGTTGTTAACTGTATATACTTGGGACCTTTAATTCCCAACATCCACAGCCCACTCCTGAACCCAATCGCACGATGGTTGGACCGGGAGGATAAAAATCATATTTTTCTTCTTTCGGACTAGAGCCTTGGAGAGGAAACCCTCAATTTCAAGGGTAGCATGAGTCATGGTCTACCCCTTCCTCTTCACATCTTCCTTGTATCCATGTAAGTATGGTTTGAGTTTCTTCTTTGTATTTTTCGATTGGAGTATTATTTGCACAGATGTACAAGGAAAGCTACAAGAGACAGTGGTGCATAGCTACGGAGGGGCAGGGGTATGAACGTGCCGCCCCAACTATTGAACGACGAGAAGGAGACATACTTAGAAGGGGAGAAAGGAATTGAGAGGAGAGGAGGAAGATGACGAGAATAAAATTGAGGCCCCTCCCATAGTCCCAGTGTTAAAGGCGAATGTTTACCCCCTATCCCGTCTTATGACAGCCCCCCCCCCCCCCTCAATGGCTGTACCACCGTACAGAGATTTTTTCACTTCCTTCTTCTGAGCATCAAATCAGGTTCTATTGACATAGACGGACATAGAAAGGAGACGGTGGCGTATCTCCTGGGAGATAAAAGGGGGCATCGTGCCCCATCAGATTATAAAAAAGGAGAAGTAAAAACAAAACTTACAGAGAGGAAGCAAGGAGAGAGGGAAAGCAACTTTGAAAATTAAGATGATAGAACCCTACGACACTCTAGTCATATACAGTAGCTTTGTACATCCCATCAATCGTAGAAGATATCCCCCGCCCCCTCTCTCCTCCATGATGCTAGCGCCCCTTCAATGGCGGGACCTATGCTATGCCCCTGCACATATTGACGGTTTGGACATTCTTCTTCTGTGCATTGAGTATTTAAGGGCACACTGCTACTGCCCCCCCCCCCCGGTCTCCCCCATCTCAATTATGTATTAAGATAAAATATAAGAGAGAGAGAGAGAGAGAGAGAGAGAGAGAGAGAGAGAGGGAGAAAGAGAGAGAGAGAGAGAGAGAAAGGGGGAGGGGCAGAAAAAGGAGGGGCAAATGGGAGGGAACATCGGAAAACAATCCGTTGGGATCCCTCCCAACCCCCCCCCCCCCCCAATAGTCGGTGGCCTAGTTGATTTGTATCCCACTGGCATCCAACTAGTCCCCCCCCCCCCCCCCCCCTCGACAAAGCTCGCTTAATGGCTGAACCCAGGATATGCCATTTATGTTATTGTTATTTTACATGTTACTTCTCTAATCATAAAGCTGATTTCTAGGTACAGAGATGGATAAGGAAGAAGATAGTCTCATACATGTAGCTATGAATGAATAGAATGGCCAAAAAAGGAGGAAATTAATTATTTATAACAAAAGGAAGTGAAAGAAAGAAATGGAAATAGGATATGGCCCCTCCCACGCACTCCACCAATCGGGAGCTTTGTTGATGTGCATGTTATCTACCAGGGACGATCAATAAGTACCCCCCCCCCCCCAACCGATGCCATGTAGAGGATTCGAGGTATTTGTTTTCTTCTACTAAACAAGCAGAGTTCTAGTTTCATTGAGGAAGACGGGGCATCCTAATGTGATGTGCAACATGATCTTAGGCTTCATTTGTGTTATGGGTGGGTAGAATTTCAGACTTGTTCATGAAAGCACAGGTATATTATATTGTTCTCTATTCTCCTATCAATATTAAGAATTGTCCAGAGAAAGCGTACATGACTATAAAAAAATGATGAGAAATGGAAAGAGAGCGGTAGAGAGAGAGAGAGAGAGAAAGAGAGAGAGGTAGATATATGTATATATATAGAGAGAGAGAAAGAGAGAGAGAGAGGGAGAGAGAGAGAGAGACGGAGAGAGAAGGGGGGATGGGGAGATTTAATGAATTAGGTGATTTAATTTCTTTTATCTATCTTCTTTAGCATACCGATTGCAAGCCCAAATACATTATTTACGTGAATGAATACAGTGCGGTGTTATTCCACATCACACTGAATGTATTTTTAAATAATGTATTTGCAGTTGGTAGCCCGAAGATAGATAAAAGAAATGAAAGAGAAAGAGAAAAGGAAAAAGGAAACTTACACTGTATACATGTAAATGTATTTAGGTCTAGAGGAAACAACACTACAGCCACCGCCATTTCCTCATCTTTTCTAAATCATAAATGACAACAAAACTAAATACTCTTGTACATTTTTCCTAGAATAAACACATACTTTTAATGTTAATTGATAATTGACAAGTATCATTTTCAAAGAACATAAAACTATACTTGTACACAATTTAGGATTCAGTCAATTTATTAAAAATTATTTCATCTGAAATCATTAATAAAATAGCTAACAAAAATGAGAGCACATTAAATTAAACGGAACAGTCAGATGCACAATATTTACTGCTGTTTATTAACATTATGAAGTGGAAGAAATAAAAACAGAGAAAAATTGGAAGAATAGGTTTAACAGGCAGCTTGAAACTGGAAAAAGTTAATACAGGAAACTGAAAAGTATTCTGATTTCATATGTCAGTTTAAAAAAAAAATGCATTATGAAGACTCAGTGTCTTTTCTTTTTCCATTACAATTTGTTTTTAGACAACAATGTAATTTGGTACTTGTTTTAATTTCTCATGCCCCACTGAAAATTATATTGGAGCATCTTAAAGTTATCATTACAACATGTACAGTGTACAATGTAGTATGATTTAATCTGATTAAAGTAAAAAAAAAAAAAAAAAAACCCAGAAATTTCTCACTTCTCATTGTAACATTTTGAGTTGAAATCAGGCACAAACATGGATTCAGTAAGAAGAAAAAATGTGAACATTACATAAAAGCCATGGACCCATTGCAATTAAGAAATCATAGTACATACATTGTAATATCCATTAGATTAATTCAAATAATACCATGGTATGGAAATGTTATATCACATGAATACAGCACACTGAACAAGGAAATTAGGGATGAGTGGAAGTACCCCCTCTATGGTAAAATTGGATAGAACTCACAACTACAATGTAATTGTTGTAAGCCTAAATCAACATTTAAAAAAAAAGGATTTAATGAACTCAAAAGTCAAGGTAAATTACACAATTTGTTTCCTCTTTTTTTCTTTCAATCTTGAACATGAGAAAACATGCATTCATTTTGTCAACAAAAGTTTGAATATTAACAGAAAAAGTGCAGTTTGTCCTATTTCAACACTTTTTCAAGTTCCTGAGAAGCTTCGCAAAAGTTTTGTGGTTGTTGTCTGGAAACTAAATAATGTATTCTTATCTGCACGAGAAACCTGCATAACACTTAAAAAGTCCTTTTCTCTTCTTCTTCAATGACCAAATTAATTTTTTTAAAGAAAAGATTCTTACCATACTTTTCACAGAAACAGAGAGATATAAATAATGGGAGGACAGTACGAATTGACATGTACATGTACAGTATGCTTAACCATCAAAATGTATATTTTTAATTTTTCCTCCTCTTCCATGTCAGTGTGATAACTGTCTTCTAAAACAATTACCAACTTAATAACCATTTCTTCCTGTTTATCAAATACAATGTATCCCCATCTATATTTAAAAAAATGTCCCTGTAAATTATACCACTAAGCTGTGAACATTACAAACACACACAAAAAAGTAGAATTACTGTTTAAAAAGACGAGTACCCGAGGAACTTAGGAAGTTATCCTTACTGAATCTGCCTGCAGACCACACATCCTTAACGTCAATAATTGCATGAAATGAAAATAAAGTGTTAAAGTTAGTAACAAATATTTACAAGACACAACTTGTTAAAATAAGTTAAAATTAGCAATTCTTGTTCACTCTGCTGCTACATCTGCCCGCAGATGGGGTAAATATTTCAAAGGTCTCTCGGTTCTCAGGACCACCAGGTTTCTGTAAGCAAAGGTTTAAAATGTCCTGTTTGTTTTGAATCCCTTGAAGCTTTACTTCATCTTCCTTCCCTGCTTTGATTGTTGTTGAAGTCATTTGTACCATCTACACTGGGAGTCCCTGATATTCTCAAATTAGCACACAAGTCATGAAAAGTTAAGACTGTTTTCTCTCCCTGAAGCTACAAATGTATAGCAGATCCTTGTTCTTAGATAGTTGTCAGCTTTTGCATCATCCGTTTGTCCGTTCCTAATGTTCCTGGATGGGGTGCACAAACACAAAATTTTCTGAAACGTTGTCAGTTTCTATTTAATCCCTCAAAGCTATAATTGTTCTTCATGTCCTATCATAGTTGTTAACCCTTTCAAAGCACCTTACATCATCTCCGCTGTCAGTTTCTAATATTGCAAGATGGGAAACAAGTCAGAAGTTCCAGATGCTCTCAGTTTGTTTGAATTGCCTCACGCTATACTTCATCTTCCTCTCCTTCAGTGGCTATCGACTCTCCAACTTCTTTTGCATCATCCTCGATGTCCTCTTTGTGAACAAACACCTCGTCCTCATCCTCCTCATCAATGTCCTTTTCCTCTTCATCGTCGCTACCCTGATCATGATCAGTCTCTGTGTTGTCATCATACCCGGATGTACCAACATTGTCTCTGCTTTCGAGCGTCTTCTGAGGAGATGACTCCATCTTATTCATCAGGGTCTAAATGGACATAGATCAAAAGGAAAAATATAAATATAAACCAACTACGAGGCCTATTGATAATATTTGTATTATTTGTATTATCATTCATATTTTTTGCTGATGACTCAAGTGTATTTTTTTCTCATAGATGTCCACAAACATTGTTGAAAACTGTTAATGAAGAGTTTCGAAAAGTAATGAAGTGGATTAATGCTAATAAGTTATCCTTGAATCTTCAGAAAACTAATTATATACTGTTCAGTAATTCAGTTAATATTTTGCCAGGCGAAGTGGCATTCAATAATAACCCAATTGAGAGAGTAACTTCAACGAAATTTCTTGGAATATACATAGACGAGAAACTGAATTGGAAAACTCATGTGGACAAATTAAGTAAAGTGGTGTCAAAAAATACTGGTGTTATTTATAAGTTGAGATCATGTATACCTCAAGAGGTATTGTTCATTTTGTACTCTACTCTTATTTTATCATATATTAATTATGGTATGTTGGTATGGGGCAAATCATCCAAAACTCAAATCCACAGGCTTTTTGTTGTGCAGAAGCGGGTTATTAGAATAATTTGTAAAGCAATTATCGTGCACATACAAATCTACTTTATTATGAAAACAGTATTCTAAAACTAGAAGATCTCTATTCAATGCAACTTGGAATGCTCATGTTTAGCATTCACTCTGGAGACCTCCCTCCTGCCCTTGCTCAAATCTTTAGAAGAATAACCAAATTCACAGCTATAATACTAGACAGGCTTCTGCTCTCCATTTACCATATGCAAGGACAACCTTCACTTTGAATACACTAATGTCCACTGGCCCCAGGTTCTGGAATTCACTTGATACTACCATAACAAATGCTTCAAGTATCTCAGTTTTTAAACGTAGACTAAAGTCATATTTTCTTGACAAGTATGTCGATGACACATGAATGTGTTATCAAGCTTTATTGTTAGTGTACTGTAGCATATTTAACTCTACTCTAGATCTTTTTTTCGTTAATTCTTGACTTTGACATATAACCCCCTTTATCCCTTTTCTTTTTTCTTCTTCTTTCTCATCTGTACATACTAAATATACCATATATTCCTACTTGACCTCTGCACTCAGAGAGCAATAACTCATTGATGTCTCGACTTGGTGTCGGCTTGGGTTTGTCCATATTAGATCATATTAGATGCAACGTTGGGTAGTTGTTCACTGAGAGTATTTTGTAAATAGTTTTTATATATTCCATATTTGTTGTTGTATTCATAAATAAGTTATCTTTGTCACATCATATGAGGGGGCCTTAACTTAACAAGCTGTGCTTCAACCAAGGTCTCCTCGTCTTCCTTTGTTCTACATTGTACTGTTATGATTATACTCTATTATATTTTGTCACATGTGTTTTCTGGAAGACAAATAAACTTGATACTTGATACTTGATTTGTCATTGAAGAGAATCGGATGTCACTCGACTCACTGCCTTCGCCATTCCCTGACAATCAGTTCATTTAGAGATCTGTCATAACATCGTACTGAATGGGTGCATAGACTTCCTTGACTGTTCTTTGAGACATGATATGCCTGGTGACAATGCTCTTCAGTTATATCTTAAATGCACACTTGTATATCAGTACTGTAATCAAGTCCCTTTTTTAAAGCCAGGCTATGAGCCACTTTCAGAAAATCTGGTGACCTCTATCTTTGACAAAATAAAGCAAAATAATGTCACCTATTACACAATGATTGTCTCACAAAGATGGATTTTTCTTTTCTTCAAAGTGCCTTTGCAATAACTCACCTCTACAACATCAGCAAGGTATTCTGCCTGGTCGGCCATGACCTTGAGTTTGTCATTCTCCTCCTTCAGCTCACTGTTCTCAATGAAGAGCTAGTGGGAGATAAAAAAATATATACAAGGAGATGAATGAGAGACAACAAAGAGGGAGTCATTTTCAAAGCAGATCAGGGGGTGTTTCACAAAGACCAAGATCGACTTTACTTTGGACTTAACTATGACAGGCCATTCATGCCACTATTAGCTCTCACCAATATAATCTTTAGATCTTTTTCTTCAATAATGAACTACATGTATCAAAACATGTAAATTCTGTAGATTTGTGACCACGATTTATATGTCTCTTCAGAGACCATTGTCAGTTAATGGTGAGAGCAAACAGTGGCATGAATGGCCTGCCATAGTTAAGTGCTACATAAAGTCGATCTTAGTCTTTGTGAAACACTCCCCTGGTCTGTAAGCATAGCCAGCCCTATCATGTCCATCTATCTGTACAAAGCTAACGTGTCCCATTGAGGGCAGTATACAAACCATTTTTTGGATGGTGATACAGCACCATATGGGTTTAAAAGTGAGCTTCTCTTAAGGTGATTGCTCCCAAGAACCTCTGAGATTAAAAGTACTTAACACTGTAATTTACTTCCCAACCAAATACCCCCCCTCCCAATTGCGGGTCACCCTTCTCTTCTTGTAGGAACTTCTCCTTAGTATTTTCCTGCAAGTCAGCTAACTTCTACATATATTCATCCAACCTGAGTATTTAGACACTAACCTTCTCATTCTCCTTGAGTGTTTCCTCCAGTGCAACTCTCCTCTCTTCAGCCAGTTCTTCCCAGTATTTGCCTGTGGGCTCAGGCCCGGTCATCATGTCTAGCACCTCCTGCTCAGCTGAGGGCTACAGTTGAAATGGGATAGAAAAGTGAGGGGAGGGTGATTAACCCACTGGAACAGAGTTGTTTTTTAATCAAATATGAGAATTAAAGTGACTCTGTAACAACATTGCCTCAGATTCTGAAAAAAAATCCTGGATTTAGCTCATGCTGCAATCATAATTATAAACCTTTAGGTAAGTCAGGAATCCCATGACTTTTACAAGCCGACCACCTGTCTTATTATCAAGATATTTATGATTGATTTTTTAAAAAGTTATTAAAGATAAAGACCAGTTATGGTCATGCGATTGCATTGTGAAAGAAACGTCGTGAAATCGATCAGAAAAGGTTGATCATCTAGCATAGATGTACTGCAAGGTTCTGGAACCATCATAATGCTAAGAAATTTGGCCCAGTCTTCATAAAGTTACAATTAAGCACTGTACACAGAAAGATGTACATGTATATGGGACTACGCACACGTGCGCGATGCGTGCATTTTTATCTCTCACAGTCCAATAGATAAACTAATTTACCAAATATATCAAATAGTAGGAGGTTTCCCGGCAAAATTTTTATCATCATGTATTATTCAAAACATATTCTTTCACATGATCGGTAATAAGAGCTTCCATTTCATTTTTTGAAATTGGGGCGTTTCCAATACTGGTCTTTACCTTTAATGGTTTTTATAACACTGCAGTCTATTTGGAAAAATGAGTATGGTAAAACCGCTCACTCAAAGATTTTTTACTCTTTTGAAGCACTTCATGATCATTTCGAAGTGCAATTTATTTTAGGGCTTCAATATTACACCATATCACAGACACTGATAACACGTACACATGTAGGGCCATGCATCACAGATTTAACATTGTTAAATGATGCCTTTTAGTATTAATGCCTTAACGTGTTAATTAAGATTTAGAGTTGAGACCTATTGTTGCCTGAGAATGTGTACATTATTTAACTTTACTATAATACACACTGTTGGTGAGGATGATGATGATGATGAGTTGGATGTATCCTCAAAGATGGTAAAGTTCTTCCCTCCATCGGAACGGAAAACTTTCTTGGGTTGACTCTTTCCATCGCTTGCTAACTTCCTTTTGGGGGTCTTACTCGTCTGTAATATAATATTAGATGCACATGTACATTTTGCGATTATATAATATACATATTGAAGAGTCAAATATGACTTAAAGAGAATAATAATAATAGATCTGGATTTATATAGCATACTGCTACGGCTGACCTGAAATGGCGCTAGAGGGGATTTGGCGGGAGTCTTACAATATGGCTTTATGAGCAGTAATCAATGAACTGATGCACTTGGTTTTAAACCAACACTGTTCAATTTGTGACTTTAGGTCATAAAGCACGCTCTGGATTTGAAATGAAACAAGTCATGTTCTACCACCAACTTTGCTTCTTGTTGTTCACGCTAAAGTTTTTTTCTGGATTTGAATTGAATTGACTTGAATTTTCTTATTATTTTTTTGTTTGTATGCGAGATGGATACTTCAATCTTACGAACCATTTCAAGTTCTTTTACGGTCTTTCAGAGCTACAAGTACGTGCAAATGCTCTGTACTCATACAGTACAATGAATCCGGGCTATCTCGGCTCAAAGACAACTCGGCCCAGCTGTTAAAACGGTCAGTTTTTGTTATTTTACCCTAACCTTAACTTTAACCCTAAACCTGCAAAAACTGAATGTTTTTGCAGCTGGGCCGAGTTGTCTTTGAGCTGAGTTGGCCCGACTCCAGTTCAATGTATGTATCTTACAGCCTATTCAGAATTACATTTTTTTTCATTGTTTGTTACGCACCTGCTTGGTGAGTCTTATAACCCCATCTGACCCCACTAGCTGTGACTGGGCACCGGCTACTGGCTGGAGTAGCTGCAATGACTTTCTCCTTGAGGGAGAACTCTGTAATAAAGATTTTAAAAAGTGAACAAGAAAAAAAAAGTATTACAAGATCACAATAAAGAGAGAGATTTTGTTTGAGAAATGAACTGAAACCTTTTGATGATTTGATCTAACTTCGGCTGCGATGTGACTCGATCAGACCTGTTTGATGTAATTGGCAATAATTGGGTTGTACACACCTAGACGTTTGATACGAGCTGTATCTTACTACATGTACCGGTATGCGCTGTACATGTACATAAAACATGAACATAGGTCTACTATTTATTGTGAATTTATCATCAATTGGGGAGATACAACCAATTGCTAATGTTTACTGCTGCATGTATAAAGAGTCATCTTTAAAACAAGTGATAGTGAATGGCTCCAAATCCTCTTCCTGTCTGGTCACAAGTGGTATTCCGCAAGGAAGCGTCCTCGGTCCAGTATTATTTACGATCTTCATAAACGACATTCCAGATTCATTATCTACGTCCGTATCCTCTACAGTCAAACTCTTTGCAGACGACACTAAGCTGTACTCTCCTGTGAACTCACTAGAAGATAGTGCTGCATTACAACATGATCTAGATCTCCTTGCAAACTGGACGGACAAGTGGCAACTCCCCGTAAATGAGTCAAAGACAAAGGTGATGCATCTTGGGAAGTCTAACCCTAATGTGAACTATAACCTCAACTCGTCAATTTTTACATCTGTGGTTCTAGAGGCTGATCTGGGAGTATCCTTCGACAACAACTTGAAGTTTTCAGCGCATGTAGACAGAGTTGCATCCTCCGCGAACAGGAAGCTTGGCCTGATTCGCCGCACCTTTTCATTCGTGGATGAATCGGGCCTTGTACACCTCTACAAGTCTTTAATAAGGCCATCCTTAGAATACTGCTCCAGTGTGTGGCACCCTGTTCTCAAGAGAGTCCATCTAAAGCTGGAGAGAGTGCAACGCAGGATGTCAAAAATTCTTCTATCGATTCGTGACCTGGAATATTCTGACCGGCTTAGACATTTGAAACTGCCCACACTTGTATACCATCGTCACAGAGCGGATATGATACAAACATATAGACTTTTCCATGGGATTGACCGCAGTGACCCCAACCAATTCTTTCTAAGACCCTCGAATGACAGAACACGTGGCCACAACTTCAAAGTATCGAAAGTTAGAGCCTTCACTTCTTTCCGAATGGGATCGTTTTCACAACGAGTCGTCAATTTATGGAATGCGCTTCCAGCTTATGTAATTGATAGCCCATCTGTGAACTCATTCAAATCCAACCTGGAAAAAGCATGGAGAGCTAAATATGACATGTACAACCCTAAAGAAATGTTTCCTTGCTATTGCATTGTCCAAAGCTCTGACGTAGGCGCAATCCCCAGTACATACAGATATTAATCCTGCTGCAGAGGGGCATATAAGTAATTATACTTGAAGCCCAACATCAAGGTAAATCAAGGTAAATCAAGGTAAAACAAAATGGGAAATTTTACACGTCTACCCATCATACATTTAGTAAATGGACGCTCTATATTGGCCAGGATTTGTCTATTTGTCAATGATCCACACACGCTCACTATAACCTCAGGAGAGGCATGTACATGTAACATCATTCAAGCAAACAAACATGTAAGAGAAAAATGTTGTACAAAGGACAATGCAGAACAGGAAAGCATACTAGATCTACATGTACCTTAAATTGCCATTTTAATAAACAAGCGCTTGAATTGTGAGCACCGACAGTGTTGGAAAGTCTTACCGAACTGTCTGAGAACTTCTTTGCCTTCCGCACTGCTTTCCTGCCATTGGAGGATGCCAATGGGGTCATTGTGGATGCGCTCTTTTCTGTGTTCATGATTTCTTGGGAAATATGCTGTTACTTGAGATCTGAAAGAAAAAATCAATACAAAACTCTGAACTAGGGTCTAGGAACATTTCACAACCAATGGTAAAAAAAGAGCCTCAATACAAAAATATATTTTATATTTCTCCTTACAACTGTTCTTCAATTTTGCTTTTAAAGCTTATCTGCCGTAGTTTATAGGAGGGATTAGACTGCCCTGCAAGGTCACTGGACAGGTGGTTATCTCATCAACTCAGCTCTCAGTTAACATAAGAAAAAGAGGATCATGGGGGAGCAATGGTCACCGATTAAGCATTGTTTGTTATATAGAGGGCGCAAGTAGCTGCAAGTAGTGCAGTGGGCCTTTAATGTCCAAAATTTCATCCTTCTATCACTTATCAATAGTCTAGAGTCTAGACTCTAGGCTAGTCTATATCTTCTCTTTTTGTTCTTGTCCTTCAACGGCGGTATATGCTGCAAGGGTCTGGTTGGATCACTCCTTTTAATTTTTTCTTTCCTTATGTTTTTTTTGTAGATCTAGACTCTATTCTTTAATAATTTCTTTCTCTCCTACAGACATTCACTAGTTTTTTTCTTTGTTTTTGTAATTCTCTTGCTACACATGTCTAGTCTGTCTATCTGTCCGATACAGGCGATAGATCTAGTCTAACATAACAGATAGATCCAGATCTAACTGTTAGAGTCTAGATCTAACTTAGAGTCTAGAGTAACTTAGACTCGAGATCTTTTTTTTTTTTCTTCATCCCGTCATTTTCTCATCTCATCTTTCTTCATTCTCAAGTTTTACTTTCACTTCACACTTCATTTCAGTTTGACTTTGTTCCATTTTTTTATTATTTTATAATCTACAAAATAACTTCAGTCCAGACCAGAGGCTCAGAGTCAGCTCAGACTCAGACTCAGAGTCAGAGCAATTGGTCGACGTCGTCGGTGACATCAAATCATATTCATAGTTGATTCCTGCTGATGTGCAGGGCTGCATACAACTCATATTTTGTTATTCAAACATCTAAATACATTTCATAGATTTTTAAATATTAAAAAAAAAAAAAATTCTCAGACCTGCAAAGCCCCACCCTAACAAATGCTCCAGATCTCATTGATCTTACACCCGGCCCCTAGCCCCGTCGGAGCTGGCTGCGCTGCGGAGCACCGGTTCCGTCATTGGAACTCGTCATTTTAACAACAAAAATTGTAGTGTATTAGACTATGAGAGTTAGATACTAAATTGAACTTTTCCAACAAGCAAACAACAATTACCGGAGTTACCTTCTAAATCTCCCTTACTTCTCTGTTCCAAATGTGACGTGGTGCTACCTTGAGAGAGTGAGTTGAGAATAAAGCCGCGTCGTCAAATTAGTTTCATGTGAAATTAAATTTCAAGAATCGCGGGCTATATGCAAATTAGTTTAGGCCGGTGTGACCGCGTAAAATGTAACCCGCACCGATCGTCCGACTATTAGAGATCGATCGAGAGCGGACGATCGGTGCGGATTTTATCCGCGCAGAATGTCCGTGTCGGACATTCCGTGCACGCCTCAAATGTCTGACGGACAATCTGTGCTGAGGAGGTCTCGCACCAATAGTCCGCCTGCCGCACCGAATGTCCGTACTCTAGTCCACACGTACCGTACCCTGCCCAGTTACCGCCCCCCTGTTACCAGTGGCTTATTAGACACAACGGCCGTCTTCCATCGCCCGAGTTTCTACGGTGCGCAATGAAGGCGTGCGACTTACTTGCCTATAGCAGCATACACGTTGTAAGGAACATGTGCACGAAATATGGTACACTGTCGATCGCCCATTTAACGGAGATACGCGAATGACGTCACTGTGCAGCAGTCAGCTATGCGCTTATTTAGGTGTGAATCAACCTTTTTAAAAAACATCAAGTTCCTATTCAAAACGATCAGAAAAAAAATATGGTGGAAATTTTACTTTTGTTTAAAGAGATATGGAAGTTTAAATTCCTGATGTTTTACCTGAGCAAATTTCTTGCGAAAATTATTATTTATAAAAAGTTATCGAGGCTTGAACTCGGCCATGTCGCCCTGTGATGCCCCTGCCCTATTTCCGCCCACTCAAACACACGCGCTAGTTCAGTGTATGTACCGTGCGTTGTTTATGCTCTAACATAGTCTATTTGTGTGTGTTTTTAGGTCTGCGGTTGGTTTTTTGAAAGTGCACACTTCATTGTCTTTTTTCCATGATAAAACACTCGGCTTACTCCATAAAATCGCAACTCGAGAGTATGAAGAAGGTGAAGAATACACAAATACTATAAAACTACATTCGACCTATAAACAGTTTGTAAATTGGGAATTCACCCCCCCCCCCCCCCCCCCGTATATGTTGACCTACATTTTGCAAATAAAAGAAAGATCATAAATGAGATAACATGGTCACCAGGCATAAAACTCTTTACTGGGATTACAGCCATGCAGTTGTCAAAATCTGCTAGACGGAATGTTGTTTCACTTTTTGATGAGCAATCATAACCGTGCTACTAAACTTAACATTTTGCAGGCTCACTTGCATGGTCTACAAAATAATCATTTAGAGGTGGCCATTCATTTTTTGTTGAGTTTACAACCAGAAAATAAAATTCAGTGTAAATTGAGTAGCTGTTTATTTATTGCCCTTTGAAGGTTCTAGGTCAATTACCCCTTGGGCATGTCACCCCCGGCCAATTAGCGGTACAATAATTACCCCAAGGACGATTACCCCCCCCCCCCCCCCCCCGAGGACAACCACCCCGAGGAAGTTACTCCCCCCCGAAAAATTACCCTCTAGGACAATTATTACCCCCCCCCCCCCCGTGGACAATTAAACCCCCAGAGGACAATTACCACCCCCTGAAATTAATGATCTCCCCCTAAAAATTACCCAACTAATTATCGAGGTTGACTTCCCCCTGTTCATACTGAACAGGGGGTAGTCCTCGGGGCGGTTGTCCTTGGTTGTCACAGGGGGGCATTGTCCTATATAGGGGTTAAGTTTCAGGGGGTGGGGGGGGGGGGGACTCTTTTCCGGGGGTAGCTCGTCGAGGCACGGTAATTGTCCTTAGGGGTAATTATCTTTGGGGGTAGTTTTCCGGGGGGTAATGGTAGGCGAATAAGGTGGGAGGCTGAGATTGAACCCCCCCCCCCCCCGAAGAATGTTGCAATGATGTTTGGCCGTTCGTTCGATCGAGCAACCGACAATTTCTGGTAACGATGTGGTAATGTGATAATCATGCAGTTAAATTTTGTGACAAAATTATATATGATTGATTAATGTTGCAAAAAATGCTGGAAGTTCGGTTCTCCAAAAGTGATCCCGATGACAACTAAGTCCGGCTTTTAAAAAGTTGCCAGGTTTGGTAGATTTGCAAAAAGTTTGTATTTATGTTCTATGTCGCTGAAGCTTGTGTCGCCTTTCAATCCAGCGTCGTGGCTTTGTAGCGAAAAGAGTGCTTGTTTCTGATACGATACAGGATGCAGGCAGAGGATTGATGTATTAGTTTTTGTTTTAATTAATTTAGTTTAATATTTATTCCCTCAATTTTCTTCGATTACACCCCTCCTTTCCCCGATTTTTCTTTTAGTCTCCCTCTTCACTTTTACATCCTTTTTCTTAGTGCTTCTATACATTAGGCTATAATATCTTTTTTCAAATGTTTGTGTGTTATATATTTTTGCCAACACGGACCATGACATTTTCGCTGCTATCAAATTTCCGTCAGCTGACTGTGAATAAAATAAATGTTGTTTTATGTGAAATAAACCTATATGAATGGCTATCGAAAGAGTAGTATAAAACTATAAATGATACATTTCACAGGGGCCTATACGCCTGTCAGCCTTTCAAATGGCTAGGGTAATTCTTATATACGTTGTTAGTTTGCTAAAGTTTTATGGCGAATAAAAGGTGAACATTTTTTTATCTCTATCCATCACATTAATATCTCTCGGCAATAAAATGAATGAATATTGAATGAATAAATAAATAAATAGATGAATTATGTAGAAGATGTGGGGGAGGGGGTATAGTGCCAAATTTAGAGAAGGGCAATACATTGCAGGACATGATTTGAGTTGTTCTCGGTAATGTCAACAAAATACTTATACAATAGCTTTCAACCCTCTTTGGATGTTGAAGTGGCAAAAACGTGACTGGTGACCCCCCCCCCCCCCCTACCACCACTCCTTTTGCATTAATTATTATACTACATTATTTTGCAAAAAAAAAACACTGACTTTCTATGGAAGTGAATCGACAACTTCGTTTTTAAGATCATTTCGGAAAGTTTTGTCTTTCAAGTTGGCTATAATTATTATTGAATGCATTATCAAAATATAATACTGCATAATTTAGAACAAGTGGAAAACAAAAAACACAACAACTTGAAGTCTTAAACAAATAATCAAAAAGGAAACCACATTTGCGTTATAGACCTATATACCCTAAAATTGTAATGATGATGATTTAGACGATGTCGGCGATGATGATAATTCTAATGACAATATTGCTAGATGCTTTTTCCAACCAATTATTATGCCTAAAAATATACGCTAATTTATTTTTGAATCAAGATTTGAGAGATGTCGAGAATAGTTTGCATTTAAAAATAATTAAAAATGAAGCACCATTACTTTATTTTACAATATGTTCACTTTGATAGTGGTTAAAGTTTTTTTTTAAATTAAATTCTTTCACCCTAGTGGTTAATTTAAAAATGATTAGCGATATGTTAAGTGACTTTAGTCAGATTTGTCTGATTACCATTATTAAAACATTAAAGACAAGTCACAGGATTTTCCCGGAAAGGCAGTTACAGAATTTTCCCAGATCAGAAAGTGGTGAATAACAGTGAACAGACATTATTAGTAGGCCTACAGAGGCAAAAGAAGAAATAAAGAAAGAAATATCAATTATCAAAATATCATGTAGATCAAATTCTACTGGGAAGCAATTTTATTTGGCCTAACGTTTACCCGAGATGTCTCCCTTTTCTATACTTTTGATGCGCGTCCACCATCGGGACGAATTAGGGCAGGTCTAGGCGGAAATAGGCAAGGAAAATGCCTCACGCAGACGGCGCACTACGGACAATTGCTTACGATTTCAGGCATAAGAATGGCATGGTTGGATTCGCTAGAATTTCGGCTACAATTGATATACATTAGCGCCTGTATAATTCATTTTCAGAAAAATTATCTAAGAAAAACTGCCTATCGGGCGGATACCGGGCAGGGTACGGTACTGTAGCTGCTGCTGCTCCTATAGTATTAAATACAACCCACTGATCTCTACGGAAAAATCATGTTGTTGTTGTTGTTGTTTTAGTTTTAAGGGCGTGTGTCATTCAATTATGAATATTTACGAATCTTCTGATTCTTGTCCTAAAATCATATATAATTGATGGTTTTTAAAACGGTATCATTTGAATTTCCATTTCCAAGCATTATTTTGAACTGTCCCGAAATTGTTTTCCTTTCTTGAAATCAGACTACAGCCCCAGCCTATTCTTTTCTTATGATGTGGATATTGAAAGGCCTTGTCCTCCCAGACAAGGATAAATAGCTTATTCAGTATGCTACCTTTAGAGACAATACTTTAAAATAATGCTGTCATTGTTGCAATGTCAGGAATGCTATTATTACCTCTTTGGTAATCCACGTATTTGCCAAAAGTATTCGCTCAATGAAGAGAGGGTCAGATTTGTTTTCTTCAATTCATTAATTGATGCCATATCTGAAAGAGCTGAGTAGTTTGTTACGTAACTATTCAAAAATTGCAGGTGCAAGCTATTGAAAAGCCAAGCTTCCTTTATTCATTGGTGCCTTTTTATAGAATTCGTAGCATATACTAAATTAATAGACCCGTGTTCTATTCATCATGCTATGTCAGGGCAGTAACCTATTGTCATATCACTTTAAGTTAAAGTCAGTAGTTTGCAGAATAAATGAAAATAACATAAAACATCCCTAATATATCAGTAACTGAAAGAAAAAATTAGGGGCAATCTTGACAACATCGGACTACAAAAATAATAATAAATATGCCTCCCGAAAGCGTGAAATCAGTAAATCGGCATATTTTGTAAAGTCATTAACATGCAGAAAGTGTTAACAACAAACGAACCAGAGAATGGCACTGAGGCAAAGTGGTCTTGTGGATAAGACTGATCGCATCACAATGTAATGTATCCGGTTCGACTCCCAGCTTCTCCTTTATTTTTTTTTATTATTATTTTTCTTCACCCCATGATACTGACTTTCCATCTCTTTTTTAAAGGGGTCACCCCCCACCTTCTAAACAAAGGAGTAAATAACATGTGATACTCTTTTCTTTTTTTTTAAGGGCGACTTTTTGAATTACTTAGTCGTTAGAATACATCTTTTGCTACATCTACAACAATAAGTA